GGGGGATATGATTTTCATGTACAAGATGTTCAATGGCGACAGCAACATTGGCAACCAACTCTTTAAGATTAACTCCGTTACAAAAACTAGAGGCCACCACCTAAAATTGGTGGAAAACAAATTCCAGCACAAGGGGCGAAGGGGGTTCTTCATGGTAAGAGCGGTTAGGGTCTGGAACTCACTGCCATCGGCTGTGATTTCAGCTAGGAGTGTGGAATTGTTCAAGAAACTCTTGGATGATTTCCTGAGGGACCGTAATATACAGGGGTACAAGTACTCCTAAGAAAGAGATGATGCGCGGACCTATATGGGTTGGACTTGATGCTTTATTCAACCCCAAATACTATGTAATACTGTTCAGCAATGTAACTGGAGGTATGTACATTGACCAGCAATTTAACAGAGGTATATACACTGACCAGCAGTTTAACAGAGGTAAATACACTGACCAGCAATGTAACGGAGATATATAAACTGACCAGCAATGTAACAGAGGTATATACACTGACCAGCAATGTAAAGTAACGGAGGTATATACCCCTTCACCACAATTTTTTTAAAATACTAATATACACAATATTGTCAAAAGTATTGGGACACCCCTCCAAATCATTGGTTTCAGGTGTTCCAATCACCTCCATGGCCACAGGTGTATAAAATCAAGCACCTAGGTATGCAGACTGCTTCTACAAACATTTGTGAAAGAATGGGTCGCTCTCGGGAGCTCAGCGAATTCAAGCGTGGTACCATGATAGGTTACCACCTGTGCAATAAGTCCATTCGTGAAATTCCCCTGCTACTAAATATTCCATGGTCAACTGTTAGTGGTATTATAACAAAGTGGAAGCAACTGGGAACAACAGCAACTCAGCCACAAAGTGGTAGGCCACGTAAAATGACAGAGCGGGGTCAGCGCATGCTGAAGTGACAGTGCACAGAGTCGCCAACTGTTTGCAGAGTCAATAGCTATAGACCTACAAACTTCATGTGGCCTTCAGATTGGCACAACAACAGTGTGTAGAGAGCTTCATGGAATAGGTTTCCATGGCCGGGCAGCTGCATCCAAGCCTTACATCACCAAGTGCAATGCAAAGTGTTGGATGCAGTGGTGTAAAGCACGCCGCCGCTGGACTCTACAGAAGTGGAGACGTGTTCTCTGGAGTGTCAAATCGAATCATGCTTCTCTGTCTGGCAATCCGATGGATGTGTCTGGGTTTGGGGGTTGCCAGGAGAAGGGTACTTGCCTATTTTTTAGGGGTTGGGCTTGGCCCCTTAGTTCCAGTGAAGGGAACTCTTAAGCAGGGCAGCCATCAGAAATTTTGGCGCCCCTTATACGGCTTTAGGCCGTAAACTCTGAGCTTC